TCACAGGCTTTCTGTCTCACGGGCTTTCTGCCTCACACACACCTCATGGGCTTTCTGCCTCACACACCTCGCAGGCTTTCTGCCTCACATAGTGGATATATTCTTGCGCAGTCTGCTCCATTGATTCGGGATTCGGTTTAGTGCATAGTCCTGGCTTTCCTCAAGCTGGAAGACTTCAGTTTGCATTCAAAGTTATAGAAGAAGAAACTCTTTTCTTTTTCAATCAGTCCCCTGAAACGCTGCAAACTGTAATTATCAGAATTATTAATCGCCGTCAGTTAGCTGGGTAGAGTCCATTCTATCCCTAAAAGCTTGAGTCTGACAGGAGACTGTTCCTGCTTAACCACTTTATAATTACAATATTCATGCTTTCATGCAACAGTCAGCACAGCAAAGGCACTTACATGTTGACTGTCAGCCAGCGGTTCCATGGAAATGCGTGACTGCTGACGCCAAAATAAACTCCTGATTGACTCCAGAGTGTAAAGGTCCAGAAGAGCAGCACAGTCGGAATTAAACACTGGAAATTTGAGTGTAGGAAATCCCAGTCAAAAGAACAACAAAAAAATCCCATATGAAGCAACTCCGACAACCTATTCCAGTTCACCTGTTTCCAGGAGGCAAAAGTGTGGACTGGGATTGAGCAGGGAACGGGAAGCGGAGGTTCCCCACGGCCCACTGAGGCTCCGCAAGAGATCGATCTGACCAAGTTTCTCCAAGCGACTCAGGAGCGCAGTAACAGTCGTGCCAGTCTCTTTAATTCCCTCTCCCTCTCTCTCACTCTCTCCCTCCCTTTCCCTATCTCTCTCCCTGTCTCTCAGCTTCTTTCTCTCTCTGCCTCTCTCTTACTCTCGCTCTCTCTTACTCCCTCCCTCTCTCGCCCTCTCCCATTCTTCCTCTCTGTCTCACATATAGGAAAACAAACACACCAGCAAGCAGCAGAGCCCCCGAATATCACACAGGCATTTAAAGTTTCACTGGGATTCTTCTTTCATTCGTGCCATTCGTGATGCAGAGGGGGGTCAGCTTCTGAAGACGGGGCCGACCCCGACAATGGAAAAGAAGGGCACCTGAATGCAAGGGTGTAGATTTGGGGATAGACGGTAGAGACATGCACCTACCAGTATTGTTGACATACTGTGAGTATTTTTTTGGGGGGGTTGGGGCCAATTTGGCTCTTACCAATAAGGGTGTAATGATTTCACCACAAACTCAAATGACAGGCTTCTCTCTCCTATTTGACTTCTCAATTGAACATAAAATAGAATATAATATATCACTCTGGTCACAGTGAGCATTACCATCTGAGGTACCCTCCATCACCGCCATCCACAGCCAGGGGCACCCCCAAACCCATCGCCTGTGGTGGAATCTGTGGAAGACATACCTCAAAGTTAGCTACCATTGATTAGTATCATCAAACATAATTAATTTAGCCTGAAAATAATTAAGATCTCCTGGCATTTTAAGATATAATATGGATTTTTTTGCTGCCTTGAGCCCAGGGTGCAGTAATCTTTGATAGCTTCTGTTAATATGCTCTACAAACCTTGAGGTCCTCCATGTGATATTGCTTTAGCACTCAGTGGATGCCTCAGTTCAGAACAATATCCACACCTCTACTCATTTAGAGGAAGCTCACACTACTTTCATCCACACACACACACCATGAGCCTTGCACAGATGCCCACTGCAGCTGTTTGGCCTCACTTGGTCACACACGTGTCCTGCGGGGTATGGTGATGTCTATACTACCTTTGGGGACACCACCATGGACTCAGCAGCTCATCAGGTGATAAGTTTGCACATTGACATCCCACAGATGGCCACCATAGACCAGTGAGTCAACGGAGCCATTGGGAAAGGTGTATGGACACCCTACGCGCCTGACAACGATATCTTTACAGTCAGAAAAAAACATAAACATCACTGACCTTATCCACCGATGATGCCTGACAGTGACTTCTGCTGCTTCTAACAGTGTCTGCGCCTCTGGGGTGGGTCCAGTTGTGGACCAAGGGGACAGGGCAGTCCCACGCACCCCTACACAGTTTGAACTGGGACCTAAAGAAATATGAAAAACACTAACATGAAGGCACCCTGAATTTAATCAGGGTGCTGTTTACCTCCATTCATTTCCTGTTGAAAATAATCATCTGGAAAAAAGAAACAATAGGAAAGGTTTTCCTCAAATTCCCATGATCTGCCCGGAAAGCGATGACTGACGGGTGACGATGACTGACGACTGAAGATGACTGATTGTGCCTGAAGATGACTGAATTTATGATTATCCTGAGCTGTGCCATGTCTCTGTGCGCCCCCCCCCCCACCCCTGCAGTCATGTTACATGTGTGGCCTTACTGTGGCACCATGGTGATCTGCAAGCATTTGTCTGTCACCAAATGACCCAGTGGCGAGTTTGGCGTTTTGGACCTGCAGCCTGAAGTTACCTTAGTTTGCTTTTGTGAAGACTGAGTGTCTCTATAAAAAGCTGCAAACATCCTCAACGCTGTGATTTCTGACATAACCGTGTGACACGCACACACACACACACACGTGGCTTGTGCCTTTTTCTGGATGCCTGGCAGTCAGGGTTCGCCAGCGAACCACCTACCAGGACAGACAGGCAGCGAGGGGGAGCGGAGGATCTGCTGGAGCGGGTCCCGTTTAATCAGGCACACAGGGAGCTCTCAGCTTCCACCAGATTAATGACCAGGAGTCAGACCCTAAATCAGCAGCGCTGGGATTTTCTGCCCCCTACAACCTCTTTGCACTCTTATGTAACAGCTGTCAATAACCAGGCACTGTTACCCAAAGGACCTGATATAGGCGGAATGGTTTTGTTTAAATGTGTGAGTGTATGTGTGCACACAGTGACCCTGTGGCTCGTATCTGTGCCTGTAGATGGACAGAAAAGTGAGGCAGAGATGCTGGGACAACAGCTGGCATCTGCTGCCTTGTTTGCTGGGTGTATTTGTAGCTAAATGTTTATTCTATCTACTGTTCCCTGCTCTTGTCTTACTGTTTACCATTGAGTGTCACTCGCCTCACTAGCATAATGTTAATAGTGATACTTTACACGCTAATCAACCATTTCTGAGGTTGAGAGAGACTGGTATTGGATAGAGAGATTTGGAGAAGTGGAATGGGGGGGTGTGATTGGAACTTGAACCGTCACTGGGGGTCAGCTGCCCCAGGCACAGGTTGGGGGAGGCAGCATTGAGGTGTCAGGGCACAGGGCACAGACCCAGTGTCTAGGGGCTAGTACTCAGATCCCAGGGGCCAATGCCTAGGGGCTAGTACTCAGATCCCAGGGGCCAATGCCTAGGGGCTAGTACTCAGATCCCAGGGGCCAATGCCTAGGGGCTAGTACTCGGGATCTAGGGTCCAGTGCTGAAGTTCCAGGGGCCTGCAGTCAGGTCCCAGCGGCCAGCGCTCTGTAACAGGAGTAGGGAGAGGACTGAAAGGTGGACAAACACTGTGGAAAGAGTAAGCAGGAGACTCGGCTTACAGTGTAAAAAAAAACCTCAGGAGAAACCCACAGAAAAAAAGCTAATGTCCCGTGTGATGATTAGGGTGAGACGTCCTGCACGGCAGCACGTGTCGAGCTGATAAACAGGCTGCCCACAGCATCAAGGGATACATCCTCCACACGAGAGACAGAAAGCGATCGGAAAACCTCCTGAAGCACCTGGCATGACATCGTCCTTCACTGTGATTAAGCTCACGGTACTGGGAAAGCTGGCTTTCACCACCAGCCTTCCCAGTACGAGCAGCTGGAAGAGTAGGAGGAGGAGGAGGAGGAGGAGGAGGAGGCCAGAGAACAGTCAACAGAGATGCACGTCTCTCATCCCCAGAGCTTGTCTTCATTTGGCTGGTAATGAAAGAAACAGACGTGGAGTGTGTGAGAGGAGCTCCTGCTGGAGGTGCCCTCATGACATATCAATGCAGGCCTAACAGAGGAGGCATGAGACGGAGGAGGGGTAGGGTAACGTGTATTTTAAAGAGAAAGAAAGAGAGAGAGGGAGAGAGAGAGGGAATGGCGGGTCTGATCAGATCTAGAGAGGAAAGGTCTTTGCGACCACATGGTAGGCAGATTGGGATCTTTCACTGTTTAAAACTGTTTCATAGATGGACTGCAGCTAAACTGTGGCTGATCGCCTGCTTTCAAAAAGATGAAGTTTAACACCAGATTTACACAAAGCTTAGCTTGGGGTGAACCCCAGGGGCACTAAGACCCTTCAGAATCACCGCGGCGTCGTTTCTCGTTCAGGGGCCTTTGTTCCTGTTCCAGTTCTCTAATGGCAAAATATCCACATGGCATGCAGTGACAACATGTTTCTGTCTTTCAGCATCAAGAGAATGTATCTGTGTGCGTGTGCGCATGTGTGTGTGTGAGCATGTGTGCGTGTCCTTTCTCCCTGAAGGTCAGTCTTTCTGTTAGGCTGCCCAGGAACCAGCAGTATCTCTCAGTACTGAACACTATTTCTCCCGCTTCAGAATTCTAAATGCTTCTCAGTCCCTTTTCTGGCTCGTCTCGCCCCCTAAGAAGATCATACTCTGATCACATTTTTACAAAAGAACATTTACTGAACCTCTGCAGGAACGTCTGAGGGCCTCAGCGATGGGTCACAGCCCACATCACTGGTCCTTCAAGATAAGTCGGCCGAGGAACACCTAGAGGGAAGGACAATCTCCTACACACACATCATCTCCCTTCCCCATGTCATCATCCAAAAGCTTGGCTCCATCATTTCCACCCACAATGACCGTCTCCACCGACAGCTCCATGGTCTTAGGAGATGAGAGGTGGCTGACGTTGTCCATCCTCCCCACGCGACCTTTAGCTCAGGTCCAATACCTCCATTTGGAGTTGGTCTCTAAGGGGATAAAGGGGGAAAGCAAAATTAGGGTCCCTGGAAAATGCAGCCAAATCCCGCATCTGCCGCCTGCAACTGGGGCCACACTGAGCCCTGTCCTCTTCCTGCAGACATCTGCTGCTCCTTGATACAGATGGGGGTGCGTTGTAATACCTGTGCCTGTGTGACTGTGTGTGCCTGGGTGTGACTGTGTGTACCTGTGTGTGACTGTGTGTTGCTGCGTCTCTCTGCAAACATGGCCTGAAATGTATGATTTCTAAATTACTCAAAGGCCCCACACTCCCCCACATTCCATCGGGCCCCCAGTCAGCACTTTGCTGGCGATGTAAGATGGAACAGGGTGCATGATCCACAGGCGCAGACCCAAGGGCCCAGGCCAAGCATGCAGAGCACAGCGGCCAGCGTTAACATTCATGACATTACATGCATGTGTGCTGGAAGCTCATTAAGGAGATCCGCTCACTGTCGAGGTTTTAATTGCACAGAGACTGATGCTGGAAATTGGCAGAGAAGCAGGTTCAGGAGGCAAAGCAGCCAAACTTCTGTCTTGTTGCATAATTCAGCATCGTGGCAACGCTGAATAATGCAACCCTGCAGGGTCAGTCTCTGAGGAATGTCAGCTGATGTGGTGTGGTCAGCTGATGTGGTGTGGTCAGCTGATCTCACCTGTCAGTTGCATGTCTCCTGTGTTGTATGGTGCACTTATATTTTATTTATTTTGGAAACAGAACATCTCCCCTCCTTTATCTAAAGTGACATATGGTTTTTTTGAGAAAGCAGGATCAGACGGTCCCTGGAACCATTGGGTGGGGGGGAACAGACAGGCAGGACATGGACGAGAGAGAGCAGAGAGACGGAACGTGGATGAGAGAGAGCAGAGAGGTAGGACATGGACGAGAGAGAGCAGAGAGACGGAACGTGGATGAGAGAGAGCAGAGAGGTAGGACATGGACGAGAGAGAGCAGAGAGGCAGGACATGGG